TCACTACATAAATAACAGATGTGCATCATGACCATTGACCAATCATAAAATTTCATTCAGTGTCTGTTGGTGATTACTCACTGCACATCTGTTTTTCAGTTCATGCACAGCCGACAAAGTATGCAGTTGTGTTGCTTCCTTGTGTCTCAGTGATAAACCCATGTGACATTTTACAGATGGATCAGAAGAAGTAATTAGCTAACGAAGATGAAAGTACAGCAAAATAAAGGAATATTAATAACACAGGAATTGAAATTAGAATCAAACATAAGTGGAGTTATAAAAGAAATAACTGACCGTGGGACACTGCTGACATTCAAGAGACTACATGTACAGCCAGAGGAACTTAGTGAGGATGAACTCATTGACATAAATGAGGAATGTGGTTGTGATGAATAGGACAAAGATGTTCCAGAGGAAGTGACACTGACAAATACTTAACATTAGAAGAACTCCTGGAGATATTTCATGATATTGAAGGTGAAAAAGGTAGAATGTTGGAAGTTGATCCAAATTTAGAAAGGAGTCTGATAATTTGCCAAAGCATAGAAAATATGCTTCCTCAGTATTATAACTTAGACAAAAAAAGGCAGGCACTGTTCCAACTACTTTTAATAAATTTTTTCAAAGAAATGACACTTTAATTCTCAGTGTCTAATGTTTTAATTACACTGTACTAAAGTAATATTACTTTAATATTTTTTATTTCTCTATACAATTATAATCAACAGCAAGAGTTTTAACATTTTGAACAAAGTGTCTAAAGGTCATTGTACAATTGTGAGTTTTTCATTGATTATTAAGCTTGCTTTGCACTGTTTCAGCTTGCATGGTCATTTTTACAGTTCTATACTACCATGCTCAGTAAGGAGGGTCTGTATATAAATGATACCACTGTTTTCCTCATGGATTTTATTTATGTATCCAAATTTTAATTACTTGGGGAAGTTTGAAATTTGTTTTTTTCCCTATCCCCTGATATTTCTGATTTTGATTCAACTGCATCTTTTTTCCTGTGTGGTCATCTATTGATGACATATTTGCTAGGGCTTAAACTTGTACTAAAATAAGTATTGAAGTCTCTATACAAAAATTAGATTCTAAACTCCATTTATTATGGGAATTACTGGTAAGGCACTTTTATATCACAACAAAAATTGAAACAGTTCTATAATTTATTGCAATGGGTTTTTAATGTTTTGAAACAGAATGTGTACATTTTCCCATTGTTTTTTTTTAAGGAATGCATTCTTCTCAGTTTTTTTTTCAGTATGTTTATCAGAGAAAAATCATCTATTGTTAGCTCTGGATCTCTTTTTGTTATTCTTTCTATATGAGTATAGAAAATAATTACTCAAAAGACATTTTCAAAAGACTACAATATAAACTAATTTTTAAAAATAAAATGCAAGATTCCTAGTTTGGAGCTATGCCAAAACTTGAATGTAGGCAGTTTTCCCAGGAGCTAATGCCCTTTGCTTTGTAAAACTTTACAGACTACTGTTTAAGGAGAAAATAAGGCATATAGTCACAAATTTAGGGAATAAATGGATATCTTTATATAATAGTGGTGACAACTCTAGTATATTGCAGATATAAAAATATTGCATTTAAAAATAACAAAAAGGTACTCATTATCCTATTTATTACCTTTCATTTCAACATTAAGCAATTAAGATACCATATTAAATATTTAGAATCAGAATCTATTTTCCACCCAAGTAATTCTCAAATCCATCCAAGTCTCTTTATTAATTAATTAATGCACACCTACTGTGTACCTGGCCCTGTTTTAGGCACTGGGATACCACACTGAGTGAAATAAATAGGAAGCTTAAATTAAGTTTAAGCGATTTAATTTACTAACCTGGTCTAATTTATAATCATCTTTCACCTACATTATCATAATCTCCTGCCTGACCCACTCTCTTCCATTCAGCTCATCCCAGAGTCCCCATCTTTGTTTTAGATCATATGAAGAAATGCTTATGGGAGCCTGAATCTGGGTTTTCTCTAACATGTACATTGATCTTACTTGAATTCTTCCAATGTCTCCAAGCCCAAATTTACTCTTATATCTGTCTTTGTTTTTTATTCAATGGATGTTAAATTTAAAAAAAAAAGCAAAGTAGTGACTTTCTTATAGATTTCAGTAATCACAATTCTAGAAATAAAAAAAAAATTTAGCAATAATTTAATTGAATGCCATCATTGTACAAACAAAGATGCTGAAGCTCATGATATGGCTAGTTAGTGGCAAAACTAGATGTGGAACTCAGTGTGCTTGGTCTATTTTTCATTATTATTAGCAGGAGAGAGAGAGAGAGAGAGAGAGAGAGAGAGAGTTTTAGTTAGGCTCTTTTGATTGTAAAGAATGGAGACCTAGGCTATCTCAAAGAAGACAGTGAGTTATTTCAATCTTCTCTGAAGCAATAAGGGAAACAGGGATCCCATAGAATCTAAAATTAGGTACTGTGATGTGACTTGGTCGTATAATATAGGCACTGATTCAATGCAACTCTGAGTATCCTGGCAGCATTAGTTTGTGGATCTCTTACTGTCCTTTTCTACTAGAATTGGTACTCATCTACTCTCTCTGTATCCATCTACCTTTTTGTGTTATCTTTCTCCTCCTCTGACAACTTTCTTTCTCAACATAATTTCTGCTTACTCTTAATTTTCACTTATACTCTGGCTTTCTTGCAGCATCTCAGTGCGCCAACTCTTTCTCTTAACCTTTCTTTGTGAAAGGGTAAGGGTGAGTTCACGAAGGACAGATCATGACTGCCTGGTCCCGCCACCTTATCAGGGTTTCTGATTGAAGAAGCCCTTGAAAGGGAATTCTGCATTCAGGAGATACCATAATTAACACATATAGTTCACTATTATAAAGAAATTTGTAGAAAGTAAACTAAAGAAGTTGTACCATCACTGCATTCTGTTTTATTGTAGGCCAGAGAGGAAAGAAACTCTGATCAGAAAAACGTGATGGCCAAAGAAAATGAAGCATGTAGCTAGACTCAAGGGTTCACAGAAATAAAAATAAGTAAATAAATTAATACATACTTTTTTAAAAAAAGAAAAAAGAAATAGGCTCATGGCAGAGTTTCACTAACCTATATGCCTCCAACCCTGGTTTCTTATTTCTCATCTTCCTGATTCTTTCCCAGGAAACTTCTAGCTCCCACCTTTCTAGAGCTGCTGCCTCATCCCAAGAAGCTACAGCGACTGTTATAGTGCCGAGGACTTTTCTTATCTTCTATAGTAAAAAGTGAAAAAACTTACCTTTGTGCATATTTTTATTTATGGAATCTTGTGTAAACATTTGGACAACTGAGTACAATATATCTTGTATTGTAATTAGGCTAATCTTTGAGCTGTCTTAAAAATGTAAAAACTCTAAATAAGTTAAAACACTGGATATATCAGATGCGATTGGTAAGCATGTAATTTTGATAAAACCATGATTTGTGAAGTACAATTCTTTTTGTTAATTTATCGTGGTCTATAATTAATAAGTTTGAACATATTGATGAGAATGAGGACAGGTTATACCTGAGCATGAGACAATTATAGGCATACAAAGTAAATGGAAGGCAGGTTACTCAATTCTTGATAAATCTATCCAACCAACACGATTCTACATGGTTCTGGTTAAGTCATCTAATTTCTCAGAGTTCAGTTTCCTCATCTGTAAAATTAGGGACAATACCTACTTCATAGGTCTGCCATAAGAATTAACTGAGATGTTCAGAAGTGGGCTAGTGCAGTGCCTGGCACAGGTAGCTCAATAAAGTTCGTTCTTACCTTCCTTCCTTTTTGCCCTTCTTACTCATGGCCACTTCCATAATCTCTTTCTAATAGCCTAGGCACAAAGGAACTGGGCTCCCAGGGGACAAGACTTTTCTTCTTCCCTTTAGTTTATTCCTTCTGTTACTTCTTTGTTACTAATATGCTATACAGATAACACAGTCTTCTCTTTGGTTCCTAAGAGACCTCTCTACTGTAACATTTTACTGTTGTTTTAAGTTTAAATCTCAAAAGCTGCTGAAATCATTTCCTTGGTTTTCAAATAGGTACCTGTTCTAATTTCCCCATTGTCTACCCAAAGCATCATTTCCTTTGCTAATCCATTAATCCAAACTCATTTCTGGTAAACCCTCAGTGATTAATCCTGAATGATTCTTTCACTCCATTAGGCTATATTCTGAAATCTTGAAAACTTCTTTTGTATGCACCATAATCTTCTAGTAAACAGTAGGTCAATTCATTGGCTATTGATTAGAACTGTACAAATAAGCTTCAAAGTCTTCCTTCATTTCTCTTGTCCCTCATAGCTCCCTTCATTTTGCCTCTAGAAGAAGATATTTCTAGAAGAAGAAGGACATGGTCTATTTTATAATTTTTGGTGTTAATGATAGAGATTAAGATTTTATTTCTATTCTAGTATTTGGAAAATATTTTTTGTTACTAATTTCCTAGACAGTTTTATAGAACCTCTTTTGATGAACCTATGGGCAACCTCTTTCATTTGAGTTAGCTCATTCATTCATTGTTAAGACAATGATGCGGATTAGAGAAACTGCCTGGATATAGTCCAATTTTTCAATAATCACAGACAGATTATGTCTGAGGGCATTTTGTCCCAGCATTATTGAACTAAAACTAACTTTTAAAAAGCTTCAGCAAATTTGGCAGGTCCATTGCTAGATATGAGCCTTTTACAAAAGATGCTGTGCCTCATTCTCTGTTCAATACTATGCTACCATTTTAGTTGATAATAACAAATCATTCAAATAACACTCAAAATTAATTAACAGTTATTAATAAGAATGACTGTATTTAATAAAAATTAAATTCTTATTAAATTAAAAATATTAAATGTAATAAGAAATAAATTAGTAAGATTTGAAATTGTATTCGTGTGAAATCAAAAGTTGGATAAAAGGCAATTTAGAACCTGTGTTTAGTTATTTGGCTCCTATGAATTTACTTTTCAGAGAATGTCTTCGTCCTTTTCCTTGCAGGGTCTCAAAGGACATCCAGGGCCCCCAGGACTTCGAGGTGAACAAGTAAGTACTTTCCTTATAAGACTTGGGAAAAAGACACATGTTAGGGAACCTCACTGAAAGATTATTTTCCCCCACTTTTTCAATTTTTTTTTCTCAGTGATTTTCACATTATGTTGCACAGGACTATCTGTTACTTAATTGGCTGTAGATTTAAAAAAAAACTGGAACAGATAATATTTTACTATTACTCAGTTTCACTGTTTGCCTAACATATTTCATCAGTGGTTCTCAAACTTCCGTGGTTCACAGGCCCCTTTGAGAATCTCATAAATGCTATGAACCCTTTCCTAGAAAATATCCATGTGCATCCCCACATACATACACACACACCTGATTTTTAGTACAATTTCAGGATCTTACCTGTTCACTAAAGCCTAGTTCATAGCTGTTAGCTCCCTGACCCTTGCATGAGGAAATACAAATAAATTTAATAACAATCCAAATTAGAATGTTACTTATATTGTTGTCCATAATACACATACACACTATGTAAAAGTCAAAATGGCTTTGAACTATAAGAGTTTAGTTTTCGATCATATTATTGCTTCTCTCTGACTTCAGAAAGTAACATATCATTATGTCATAGGAAAAAATAAAATCATATTTCTTATTTTCAATACAACATGTACCAGACCAGTAAGAATAAAACAGTGGAAAGGGTAGGAGATTAGCAACTGACTAAGATGATGGATACAATTATTAAACAATCAGCAAAGAGCCTCGGGAAGCCCTAAAGGGAGCTTCAGGAGAAATGTGGTGGATGGCTCCTGGACGAAAGATATAAAGAAAAGACAAGACCAATTTTCTCTTTCATTCGTCTTCAGTGGGGCAGTATACTCTGATCAGTCCCTGAGGCACAATTTTTCAAGATTACTAATTACAAGATATGGCAAGCAAAGCAACATATGTATCTATAAAAGGTGCTATCTCAACTTCCTGAAAATCAAACAAGTGCTGAAAAGCATTTGAATATTTATGGAGGAAAAAATGAGAAGGGTGGAAGAGATTAGTTCCTGGAGAGAAAAAAAAAAAAAAAAAAAAAAAATATGTGTCCTCACAAACAAATTTATGTCTAAATAAAAAAGGATCCAAACTATTCATGGTGGTAATGGCTCCATTACAGCCCGAGGGTGAGGCTGTCTGGTTAAGCTCCAGGAGAACCTGGGCTGTCCACAGACGCTCACATGAAGGAAACTTGATACTTCACAAGTAAGTGAAAAATTGGCATGTGTCAGTACTGACCAGTTCTCTCACACCTTTTCTATAATGTAGTTATGTTAGTAGGCATGTCATTGTTCTGAGGGTAGTATACTTTGTAGAAGAATCTAAAATCAGTTTTCAAGGTAGGACAGTGTATTTTGGAGTCAGCTCTTGCTTTGTATTTTGTTTCCAGAAAAAAAGAGGCAAAATTTGTGTTAACTTCAAGGAACAACTAAAACTATTTTAACTGTGAAAACATTGTGGACATTAATAAGAGCATAACTGATTTGCTGGAAGGCATTCATTTCTGGAAAATTTGTAAATATCTATAAATTAGTCAGCAAACATTTGGCAAAGCAATTACATCATCTGTGTGAGCTCTAGTAATAAGAGTTGTCATTTACTGAGTCTTTATTATTTGCCAACTGCACTACTATTAACTATAACTTCTAGTCGTATAATTATTTAATCAATATTTTGCATGCGTTAAGTAAGTTAATGCTCAGCAACACAGAATTATTGCATTTACCTCCACTTTTAAATATATTCCTACACAGTGTTCTATTTTCTCTACACAATAATCTTATGACGTAGGTATTATTATTCTATTTTACTAATGAGAAAATTGAGATATAGAGAGGACCCATAGTAGCAGTGCTGGGATTCTGAATGAAGTCTGACTGATTGAGAGCATCTGTTTTAATGCTTAGAGTGAGAAGTGAATTGGGGCAGGCTTCCTAATTTCCTGTGCATAAAATTTCTCAAACTATCTCTGCTTCTTTATCTAATCTACAGATTTAACTGAGCCAACTTTTTTTTTAAATCCATTTTTAAGTACAGAGTGAATTGAGTCATGGTGTTTGTTTTGAGTTTCTTTTGAGTTTCTGTGGTTGTCACAGTGATTTCAGGGTGTGGTTAACTCAGAATATATTTATGCCATATAAAGACTATGCTGAAGCCTTGCTTGTTTACTTTGTTTACTGCTATTCTAGTCTAGCAGAATTTAGACATCAAGTGGCATTCTTTTGTGTTTTCTCTGTGCGGCTGGAATGTGTTAGTTAGATCTCTATATGTTGCCTTTACACCCTCTGTGAAAATCCATTCAAAATCAGATTTCACTTATGTAGTAGAACAGATTTGCTTTTTATTGAGGTCAATTAACCTAATTTGGCTAGGAAAGGAAAGGGAAAAGAATAGTGATTGGCATTAGCCAGGTAGATAGTGACTTACAAAATGAAAAAGGCCTTTTAAATTTACTTCACTCCTTTCTATGGCATACTCAAATACAAGGTTTTGTGAATATCTGGATACAGGCCTATGCATTTTGGAATTGGATGGGACATAACAGAATGCAGTTGTAAATACACTGAAGTAAATCTCATAATTAGAGGGCTTTCTTTAGGGTGCAGTTGGAAGTTACTTATACTTCAAACCCACACTAGGGAGGCGGTCTTGAATAGTGGTCTCTGAAATTAGACTTGCTGATTTAAACTCTGGCTTCCCACTTACTAGCTGAGTGACCTTCCACGGATGATTTAAATAGTTTATGTCTCATATTCTCTCATCCGTAATATGGAATGATGGTATCTACCTCATGGGGCTTTTGAGCAGATTGAGTAAGATTATACATATAAAACACTTGAAATAAATAATACTTATAAAAGTGGTTGGCACAAAAAGTGCTCACTAAATGGTAATTGTTGAGTCAAGGGAAGGGAGGGGAGAGAAATGAGAGAGAACAAAGTTGAGAAATGGATTCAAAGAAAAGTGGAGAGAAGCAACTTTCAACTGTGATTCTCCATTTTTACCCCTTCCTTGGTTGGTCTTTCTCTAGATTTTTCAAATTTTTAGGAGTTTTTGTATTTCTGTACTTCAGCTGGAGGTGACACTCTTGAATCTACTTCAGAGCAGAAGGACAAACCACTAGTATTTTTTATATTTTTATATTCTGTTATAAACAACAAGCAGGACATGAATTTTACATGATAAATAAGGAATCTAGAATACTTACCGTTGTTGTCACCATTTGAAATTAAGTAAAGGCAGCTTAACACACATTCTTTTGGCATTTCCTTGGTTCAAGAATTATTTAATACACCTAACCTCTGGATAAACTGATGAGTTAATGAATGAATAATTTATCAATGAAAGAAAGTTAAAAAAGAAAAAAAAAGGAGGTGTTTTGTTTCTCTTTTCCACCCAGTTCTGAAGCAGGTTTCCTTTCTAATACCTTTGAGTTTCCATCTATCAGCCTTCCTTGAGCAAATCTTGTTTTAAATTAATAATACAAAGTTGTCAATTCCAAATGAGTTTACTATTTGTCTAAGTCAGTCTGGGTTGCTGTAACAGAATACCATAGACTGGGTAGCTTATAAACAACACGAATTTATTTCTCACAGTTCTGGAGTCCGAAAGTCTGATATCAGCATGCCAGCATGGTCATGTTCTGGTGATAGCTCTCTTCTGGGTTACAGAACGCTGCCTTCTCATTGTATCCTCACATGGTGGAAAGCGCTAACTAGCTCTCTGGCCTCTTCTTGTAAGTGCATGAATCCCATTTATGAGGGCTCCACCTTCATGACCTGATTACTTCCCAAAGACCCCACTTCCTTATACCATTTCTTAGGCATTACCATTAGGGCAAGGATTTTAATATGAATTTTGAGGGCACACATAAATATTCAGTCCATAGCACTATCCGAATTTACTATGTGAATTTTCAGATAGACTCATGTCACGATAAAGGTACTTACCACTTAATATCTATTTGCATAATCAGACATGCTATAAGATTAAGTTTATTTTAGGAAAGAAGAGATTGGTTATGAAATTCACTGCCCCTCTTAGTCTTCTGGGGCACATGTTCAGACAGTTAAGGAGTGTTGCCGGATGATTGAGATAGGAAGGAATTCAATCCAAAGAGATACTGTTTATTAAGAAATGTACTGGCTCTTCCTCTAGAATACATGTCTTCTTTAGTTATATAGGACTGGATTTTTCCATCCTGTATTTATCATTATTAATGGTCAGTGTCTCATTTAGGGCCCTAATTTAATAGTTTTATTTATTTTTATTCAGCAATTTTGGCCCATTTTCTTCCAATAGGTGATTTTAGTCAGATAAATGATGTCCAGGACTCTATTATTATGGGGAAAATATTCCTTCAAACCTGTACATTATAAATACCCCAAATTTGTTTCCTTGTGCTTTCTTTGGCTTTGTTGTATTATTTTATTTATTTTATTTTTCATTTCAGGGAATTCCAGGATTCACTGGTAATATTGGTTCACCTGGTTACCCTGGCAGGCAGGTGCAGTAACTATGTTTACACTTCTCCTTTTATGTTCCTCTTCATTAATTCATTGTATGTTCTGACTTTGAGAGTTATTGTTCAAAAGACAGTGGTTTATTTTTATTAAGTAATGAATTATTCATAGAGAAATAATTTCAAAATCAAATTTGTAAAAATCCTTCAAAGATTTTACTGCAGAAAGTTTTGTTTACAATGTGAGTGGGGCTATTAAATATGTTTGATGTGATGTATGGTTGGAACCTTGAAAATTAAACTGCCCAAGGGTCCAATAAGATCTTAAAACAGCCCTGATGCTTATTTTATAATACTTCTACTGCGCAAAATAAAATGGTAAGAGTTAAAAGTCTCTATGATAAGCATCATTTTTTAATAACAGTTATAAAAACTTGGGAAATAGTTGTCAGTGCTACATATACCACTATCACATATTTTTATCTGGACTGAATTCAGTTCTGTCTGTGCTATTTGAAAATTCGTTCTAATCATT